CACACACACACACACACACACACACACACACACACACACACACACACACACACACACACACACACACACCCTTCTGCATTCTCTCTTTATGTCTTGCTCAACTTCTACCTTTCTTCTTGGGTAACACATGGCCCGCTTGGACGGCCGGTGAATGGCACACATGCCGCCGTCTTTGTTGCTACAACAGGCAGCGGTTTGCATTGGCGGCCCTCCTATCTTTTAGCATATTAATGGAGTGGCGGGCCTATGAGAGGGAAGGCAGAAGAGTGTGACTCCATTGTCCAGAGTCATCACCTCATTTCACCCAAATGAGGGACGCGGCATCCATCCTCTCGCCACCGATTCCAATTCAGCTAGACAGGCTGCACAAAGACCCTGGCTGGACTTGAGGACAGGGGCTTGACAGGGGGGGAGGAAGACGAAGAGGGCAGCGATGGACGGTGCGGTGACGAGGCAAGCGGGAGAAAAGAGGGGAAGGTCGCAGGCGTGGTGGGAGGAGGGGGAGCTAGACGACTCTGCTGCACATCGTTCTTGAGTCTGCGTCCAGACCCTTGTGAAGTTTTGGAAGAAGAAAAGACTTGCCCTCCAGTGACCCTCACCTCCTGCCTCCCATCCAACCCCCCACCCCCAATCCCTCCCTGCAAGTATTTCTCTGTTCCTGGGCCACCTCTGGGTTAGAGGAGTGAGCAATGGGGGCATAGAAACAGCCTGCACATTAACATATTGCTATATTCAATTGCAAAGCAAACCGCGTGCGATGGCTCTGAAGGAGATTTTTCTTCCTTCTTCTTTTTTTTATTTGGAATCAAAGAGGTAGGCCCTTTGATAGCTGCAGAGGCAGCCTCTCACTGCCTTTTTAACATGCACAGCCAGGCGCTTTCTCATCTTGTGGGCTCAGTGTTGACAAATAAATGAACTTATTATACACCCCTGTGTTAGCCGCTGGGCCTCTGCCAAGGGGGCGATTTATTAAAGGCTACCTCGAGCCAAGAGGAAAGAGCGCACAAAGCCCCCCGGCATTACATCACTGCTGTAAGAGCACAACTTTCTATAGAGGGCTGAGACGACAAAGGCATACAAGGATTTACTGTAAGTGTGCAGCGAGCGCAGAGCGACAGGCGAGGCAACAGACACCTCAGCGACACAGGCGAGAAACAATGCGCCGATGCCTGCGTGCTTTCAGATGCAGACACACACTGACCCCCCCCACACACGCACGGCACAGATGTTGGTTTGTGGGAGAGCTGAGTGGCAGGCAGTGGGCAGCAAGCTGATTTTTCGCACTCAAGACAAGACAGGTCTGTAGCAGAACAAGGACGTGCGCGTGCAGCCGATGCGGGCTGACACTCGGGCCTGGTGGCTGCTGCATGTGGGGGGAAGAATGGCTGTATTTTAGGAGGCCCTCATTGATATTCATGTTGAGGATAAACAGTGTATGTAGCTGAGTGGGGACGCCTGCGATGGAAAGCTCCCTGTGAGCAGCGGCTGGCTGGCCCGGCCTGCACGCCTCTCAGCCCCTTCAATGGCCCTTTCTCCTCCCTGTGCCCCCTCGTCTCCATTCCTCCCTGTTCCTACCCCATGAAACTTCATCCTCGGGCCACCGGTCGCACATTCTCCTGCCCTACATGGCCCGCTCCATCTGGGTGGCTGCAACGCACACCACGCACATTAAAATTGTAAATTAATTAAAGTTGGAAAGTTGAACAACAGCCAAAGAAAAAGACGGATTTACCCTGACCTCTCTTTCCACAGCGATAAATCAGCTTCTTGTATTCTATACATGTAGCGCTTATTGAACGTGTTTATTAAGGGAGCGCCGTTACGAGGCTGCGGGGTTTGGTTGACTGATTAAGGTTAACAGCAAACATCTCTTTAGGACTGGCATGACAGTATGTTTCACCACGAACGCAACACAGACCGTCAGCCAACACGAGACCTCTGTGGAGAGCTTCTCAGAAGACAATCCACCTACCGCGGCTGGCCAAGGCCCACACGCCGGCTTTTTTCCACAAATGCCAAACTAACAAACAACAACTTGATATTTCTGTCATTTCCATTGCTTCCTGTCTGGCTGTCACTCTGGAAACAAACTAAAAAACCCAAACCTGTGAGAGTTGCACGCTCTTGCTCAGAATTGTGTGTTAATTGTAAGCTGCCCTTTTAGCCTCTCGCTATCACATCCTGTGTCACAGCTGCAGTCTTGAGTAACATCAGTGTTGAGGAGCGTACAGATTTGGAGAGCGATTTTTCTCCCGAACACGGTTACAGTTTGGATTAAATCGACTAAGCTTCATTCAAAAATCTCGGGCTATTCGTCCCTTTCAGATGACATCGTGTGGACTATTGTAACTCAGTGTCTGTACCCAATATACTGTCATTCTGCTCCATCGTTACCTCACCAATCACCACGAATTCCCTGCTCATTGTTAAAGAACGAATAAACAATCTGTAAACACGATGTCGGCTGTGCCTGACAGACAAACCGAGGCACAGCCGGCACCATGCACCGCTCTCCTCTCACAGAAGCATCGCGTCGGTGCCGACAGGCCACAAAGTGACGCTCAGCCGCAGGTCAGAAGTTTAGCTGACCTCAGTGGCCGCTCACATCAGCTTCTATGCATCTACTCGGCAACTGTCATAACATGACACGCCATTTAAGTTGCATTAGCGTGCCAACAGATGTAGCACATCTGCAAGCTGCTTTGTAACCCACCCCCTTTGCCTGCTGTGTCTTCATCAGTCTCATCTGATGTGATCAATGTGAGCGATTCTTGTTTTTCCGTCCGAATAGCAAAAACAATCTTCCGTTTAGTGTATCGCTCCTGCAACAACCTCAAAGTGCTGTCGCAGTAGTTTTGATTAGATCCTACAGTTATATTTCCCTGTTCACGTCCTGCTTTTGAAATAAAGAACTAAATCCCAATGACAGCATTTAAAGGCCGTATCAAGTAGCCTTTAAAGAGGAAGACAAAAATGAGGGGACGGTGTGCTGAGAAAAATGTTGAGTCAAACTATCTGGAACCAAAGCATTTACTTTAGTACAAATATTAGTCTTTGTGGTTAACATGACGTCCGAGAAAAACACGGAAGATTTTGATTTCTAAACCTTTTTGCTGGGATAATTGTAGCAGCCGAAGCAAAATGTCTGCGATCTCCGGCGTGACTCAACCAGCCGCAGGATTTATACTGTGGTGCTGATCAAACAGCGAGGTGAAGAGGAGAACTCAGGACGTGCCACTCGATGATTCACCCTGTGTGTCACGTTACTGGGCACATACTGTCAGGAAGCCTTTTCCTGCTTCATCTGTTGACAATGCAGGCGGACCGGACATGATTCCTCACATCAGCGGAGCGTGCAGGGAAAGGATAATTCGCTGGAGAAGGTGGCTAATTTGTTCGGGTTCTGACTCATCAAACACGGAGGGGAATTTATGTAAACAAACACCAGCAAAGCTCTTTTCATTGAACACATCTGAGATGAATCATCCATCTTTACAATGCTGAGCCCAGGCTGGAGGGGATTCTCCGTGCCACGGCCGCTTGGAGTCGAAGCTACAAGGAGCATTCCTGCCTCTGGACTAGAGAGACTTAACAGGCGAAACAAAAGAAAGAGGGCTTGTGAATCAAGCTGCGACATTTGAGCTGTCGCCGATTTAAAGACGCAGCTCGTAGAACCCAGAAAAGGCCAAAGAGGCCGAAAGCTGCCGGTTTCCAAAAAGCTAAATTGAAACATTCCCAACATGCAGGTTGGGAATAAAAGAAACGGAATAATACCAAAGTTACACTGCAGTTGAAAGTAAGCACGGCTCGAGTTCCCTCGTGTTTGTCAGCTAGTGAATCATTAGTTGTCCTGATAAACTAACCAGTTAATCATCAAGTCCCTTCATACGTAGTTGAAAGACACTTCCACATACCAGCAATAAGTGATCAAATACTATTCGGAGACAAAAGAACGAGCGCTCATTACTTGGATCCCAACTTGTAGCGAAATCTGCATTGTGTCGAGTCTCTCTTGGACAGCGCCGCTGGCCCGGATCCAGAGATTTCTTTTGATCAGCTTCTGTGACTATTGTCACCATTCCATGCATACCATTACAGAAAAAATGCACCCTGCCAATATGGCAAGAAGATGGGGCTCAATGACCGCAGCAGACAGGTTGGGCTGCATCTGTCTGCCCCACGCACCCCGTCCATTCTCCCACTTTAACTCGATTGAATAAGAATAGAAGAGGAAGCTCAGAGTGCTCGGTGTCTGTGTCTAGGAACGGAGGTTCATAATCTCCCTTAATGAGCTTGTTTCTGGGCTATTATCCGGCAGCCTGCCTGAGGGAAACGCTGGCGTTTCCTATCAAGTGGCCCTGCAGCGCTGACCCTCACACGGCTCTGCATATGAAATGTAAGGGCCAAGCCTTTTGTCTCCTTTCTCCCAGTCTCTAGCTGAGCCCCTGATCCATTTGCATAGTCCTGAATGGACCAGCCAATGTTATTAATTAATACAGAGCCAGCCTGCGCCACCTGACAAAATCCCACCGAGTGGCCCGAACGGAACTGTTTCATCAAAAGAGAGGAGCCATTAGGAACGAGAGGCCTTATTCTCCTCTCGAGAACAGAGAGCCGTGGTTTTACGCGTGGTTTCTTTTCCCGTAAAGGGACAGCGGCGGTGGGACCGAGGCCACAGGTGACCCCGCTGTCGACCGGCTCGTAAACCTAAATCCTCCCGAGAGAGAAATCCTCCTGCGCCTTTACCTTCTCAACTCTGCTCAGAGGACGTCTTCGAGGAGGATTCTCACCAGATAACCCGAAGATTTACAGCTGGCAATGTTTCACAAACGGGTCTCGTATTCCCAGAGATCCTCCGATGCACCAAACCGTTGACTCACTCGTGCTGAATCTTTCCTCATTTTGCCCTCACTTCGTGCTTGCCTGGATACGGAGCGTGTACACAAATAAACGGCCGATGACGGTCCAGAGCGATCTCCACAGCGAGGCTCTCCTAGAGTACAGTGTCAGGAGGACGATTCTCGTAAATTTATTTCCACTGCCTCATTGAAGCAATTATGGACAAAGTGCGCGCCGAGTCTTTCGCAACGTTGCTTGGGGAATAGGTCGGATCCCTGACACGCTGTCATTCCAAACATTAATCCTCTGGCAAAAATACGGGGTGAGACAGGAAAAAAGTGAGATATGAGAAAACTGAGGGAACCGGACTGAGGACACAGGGGAAGTATTAAAAAATGAAGCGTCATCTCAGACTCTGCTGTCTGCATTGAATCCATTGCACAATCGGTGCAGGAGATCGCCTCATGCTGCGATTGTCACGTATCTATTCATCTAACTGTGTACACTCCTCCCAATGTTGTCAGCAGAAGGAGGTGTTTCCCATGTGTGTGTGTGTGTGTGGGGGGGGTGTTAGTTAGCATTCCTATTTGTGACCTGCAGAGAAAATGAAGCAGCTGCTGGTCGCTGACCAGTTTGTGGGGGGCAAAGAGCATTATTAAGGATGACTTGTGCGGTTATCCAAAGTAAACGTTCGCACAAAGTCCTCGAGCGTGCCCAGAAGCAGTGGAGGAAGGTGCTCGTGGCCCCGCCTGCTTTGTAGCTCTGATCGTGGTGACCTGAGGGAAATCTGCCCTATTGCAAACGCCATCATGTCCTCCAGCAGCGGGGCGTGGAGGCGTGTGAAGTTAAGAGAGAGAACGTAGGAAATTTGAAAACATGACATGCCTCAGATTTGGCAGCACAAAAACAATACCCTCCTCTGGCTCTGACTCCCCTCACCCCTCTTGCATCTTTCCCACTTTGACCTCACTCTCCCTTCATGTCATGTTGAGGCTCTCGTTCCTTCCATCCCTCCCTGCATGTTTGATCTTACGGGAACCATTCAGCTCAAGTGTAAAAAGACAATGGTCTGCCTGCCTCCACCCTTGTCCGTTTGTCTTTTCGACCCCCTCAATCAGGCTTTGAAGCGTTACTTCAGAGGCCGCTGGGAGAAGACAGACGATGGATGTCAGACCTGAGAGGCTGACACTTTTACGACTAATGCTTTTCTTAGGAAGAATATTTTCTCACTGAAGGTAAGGCTAGCTGTGACTGGCCCATAACAGATCTCCAAAGAAGACTTTGACACGACCCTGAAAGAAGAAACGGCAAAGACAACACTACAAAGTATGCTAGCGTAAGCCATTAGCGCTTGGTTTGATTTGGCACAGACGACAGAAAAAAGATCGAGGAAAAGATACGGTCATCTTTGGACTCAATTCGTCCAGACTGGCTCAGCGATTCATTGCAGGGAATCGAATCGAACGTTTCCTACCTGTGGCGCAGAGGGCGATGAAGGTCTGGACGTGTTTCCGAATAAGTGCCAGCTTATCCTCGGGCAGCGGCAGCCTTCTCACGATGTGCTCGATGAAATCGTTCGGTGTTACTGCTGCCAGGTTCCACTTCAACTTCCCCAGGACCACCAGTTCCCATTCCTAGAGCGAGCAGCAGAAAAGGGATGGCGGAAAAACAACTTCAGCTGCAGCTCTGCACTTTTATTGTTTAGCCAGGTGCGCTTGAGCCAAAAGTGTGTTAATGTGACATACACGGCGAGCATCTGGAGGTTAAGTGTTATTGTTATTAGTCTCTGCTCGGCTGGGCCTGGGACAGAGAATCACCAGCAGTGCCACCAACCCAGGTGACCCGGCATCACTGTCTCCCTCCCTGTTGGTGTCTGGCATGTGGGGACTTTCCTAAAGAGGCCCATCAGAGGCTCTGCTGTGTGAGCGCAGAGTGAACACGGATAAGCAGCCTATGTCTGCTGAGCACAGTCAGCATTAAGTATGTCATCTCTTATCTCAATATATCAATCAGAATCCTATTTATACACTGCAGCACTTAGTTACTATATTTTTCCACATGAAGTGTCTTGAGGAAAGACTGAAACTCTGATTAATCAGCATCTGAGTCTTTCATTTAGATCTCACAGCAGGATGTGCTGACACGTGCTCATCCATCTGCACGTCTGTAACACGGGGTGAGGATACTAGGTGTGGCGTTCTCTTTTCTGAGACTGCATTGTTACTTTCACTTCCTAGAGGAGGAGGTGATTAACGAAAGAGCTGGTGACTAATTTGGGAAAAAATGTCAGCGGTTTGGTTCCGCACTGCAGCCTTGTGACTGGGAGGATGGATGTTCTTCATTTTCCCTTTAAGAAGGAGAGACCACATGGACTCGGTCATGAGACAATTCAATATGGCCGCCCCTACTAGCAGCATGCATTGTCCCAATCAAAGTGACCTTTGTCAGTCATGTCATGCTTTGCTATCTTGCTGATGTTTGAGAGACTGAGAAACAGGACATGTTCCTGATGAAATCTGGAGTTTCATAAAGTGAAAGCCGTCTTCTTCTGGCTACAGCAACGTTTTTGTCTGATCATTAGCAGCCTCCTGCTATTAAAAGGAGTTTTCCATCCATGACAGTACGCAACACCAAAGCCTATAGCAATAGCTGCGACAAACCTTGCAACACATGCTTTATGCTGACAAGGGTGGCAATCTGGTATCACCCACTTCCTTCTGCTTACTGCCTTCCTCTGGTCACACCTTCTTCGTAAAATTGTGGTTCTCTTTACAAGAAGTTCTTACTAAAGATGAGGACAAAAAAACGATCACATGCCCCGAGCAGCTGATCTGTTTCCTGTATCTGCGTGTCAGCCAAAATACTGCCTTATACAGAAACACAGAAAGGAGGCCTCAGCAAACCAGTTCAAGGACTGAGGGCTTCGTCTGCAGTCTGAACATGAAGGTATCAGAGACGGTTTTTTGTCAAGTGCAGCACTGCATGCAAATGATACGAGTTTCCAGCCACAGCAGCGCATTTTGTTTTTCTTTTCAAAATAAGCTGTTTGAAACTGGAACTTTAACACGCTGGCTCGGAGTCGGAACCTTCATTAAACAAATGAAATTGTCATTCCAGAAAATTACGGGAAAGCAACAAATCAACAGCAGCTCGTCGGGGGCTTGAATGTGCTGCAGCGGCAGTCTGCTCAGTGGGTAGAGCCGCCAGTCAGGCAGCGAGGCAGGCCTGCAACCATCAGCCCCGTCTGAATCATAATATGTGGCCTCTTTCACAACATGGGTGGGATTGGCTGTTGTTTACTGAGGAATGTTTATGTAGCACCACAGAGCAGGAGGGAAAATACTTATCTGATGTGAAACTGACTTAATTAATTGGTTTGCCAGCACAACAGAGCTTATATTCATTAAACAGGACACAGAATGGTGACTTTTTCTGTACCGTGGGTTTCATGTGCAGTTAGAATCAGAAACAGTGACTCGTGACCTCACGTCAGCAATGTGTGCATCCACAGTTATTTTTGGACACCAGCTAAACTGTAAAAGGCAAACTTGAATTTCTCCGTCTCTCCCTCTCTAGCTCACAGGAACAGAGAACTTTGGCTCCAGTTCAATATGACCTCGCTGATCTGTGAAAAATATCTACCAGCAGATGGCGATGGAGACCACCGCACAGGCTGGAAGGTTACTGTAAAGCCTTGAGGGTCTTATACAGTAAAGAGAGCCCTTGTAGAACAATCCTGCGCTGAGCTCCTTCCTGCGCCTTTCATGTCTAAAGCCTGGACAACCGATTCAGTGAAATGGGGACAGTGTCGAGTATAGCTCACATTTGAAACTTTTAAAGAAGGAAATACTCGAGAACAAATCCCGGCTTCCAAACCTGCTCTGATGAAGAAGAAGTTATGTAATATGTTTAACCAGCTGATGGTGACAATGTGAGTCTGCAGATGTGTTACTGCAAACTGCGTGAAACACGTAGAACTGTCGCTTACCAGCAGCTCTTGTGGTCTGATGGAGTTATCTGTGTAGATGCACAGCTTCTCTGCAGTTAATGGACGAGTCTCTTTCAATTTGGATGCAAGAAACATGCACACTGCTCCCAGCAGCTGCAGGTTACACTTTTTGGTGGGTACCACTGCTAGAAATCTGTCTAAGTAGTTCATGGCCAAGGGAAAAACTTCTTCCTCGCACTTCTGCTCCTCACAAACCTATAAGGAGACAGCACACAAGGCGACAACGTTGACGACACGTGACTTCTTTTTCAGCGCTTGAAACGTATATAAAACTTTTGTGAAATAACGAAACAAAAGAGTGATCACATAAGAGCACATTTAAAATCAATGACACACATAGTTGGGGCTCAGCCAAGAATTTGCGCCCAGCCCAGATCTGTTGCGACATCACAAAATAATTCGAAAGAAATTATTTCACAAAGACTGAAATAACTTTAAGACACATACTCTCAATAGACTCGCATTCCTGCAGTTCATTCACTAAGAAATGAATTCAAGTCACAATCAACCGAGCCAAAAAAACACCAGGAAAGCGCAGCACACGGAAACACACTTTTTTTTAAAACAGTCGTCATATTTTCATAAAATATTTAAAAATAGAAATAAATTATCTGGAGCGACTTTCTTCACACCATAATGTTCAGCAGACTCTTCCACATCATATCCGACAATTCCTATCCGTATCCATGCGCGATAAATATCAAGAAAATGTCAAAATAAGAGGCAAGTCGCAAGCGGCTGGTGTGGCGTGCCTCACCGCCGAGCCGATATAATTATTTCAAAAATTAATTAAAAATCTCCAGTGCGTCAGATTCTGACAATATTTACATGAAAATAAAGAGGAAAGACTGCAGATTGTTTAGAGGAGGCTGTTGACCGGAAATATTTGACGGATCGTCAACAAATGAACAGAAATCTTCGGCAAGTCACTGGAGACCAAAAGAAGCGATAAGGCCCTCGCCCTTCCCGACATTTAAATAGATATCTAAAGCGATCGCAACGCTTTTTGTGATCGAGTCTGTATTTGGTGGACACCTAAGACCCTCTTCTGTCATTACCGACGGTTTTTACGCGCTGTTACTTTGCTTTTGACACTGTAAATCCTCTTAAAAGCACTCCTATAAAAACCAACATGGCGATACAGCGCAAGTCAGCATTGAATTGGGGGAGTGCATACGTGTGCATGAAAAATATTCAGCCTATCTAAAATAATAACATCAAATAATCAACGGGCAACATGTGCAGACACCATGTGAGGCAGATAAAGGAAATCCTCCGGTGCCACAGATGGCACAGCTGCCACTTTCGTAAACGCAGCGATCGGACTTTAAAAATGGAAAGAAATTGCGTTAAACGGCACCGACGAATAATATAAGGAAATAGCAGTCGGAAATATGAGTCGTATGCCATACGTGCTCCTCGGAATATTTCAACCATTGCTCGATAAAGAAATGAAACAAATCGAGAGGCTTTAAAGTCGAGCACGGAAATAATATGTCTTGTCAGCACTCGGTGTTTCGCTATACCTCCAACATCCAAGTGGCCACCATTCTCCTCATGAACGGCTGAATATCTTTCTGGACGCCTTTGAAATAAGAATATTGGGGTAAAAACCTCTCCTCTATAGTCAACAAGCGCTGCAGGACTCTGTCATCGCACAGCAGATTCGGATCGGGACGAGCTCGTATGATGGTGTCCATTTCGAGGCAGAGCAGCTCCATGGTGCTGGTGTTTTCACTGAAGTTAAAAAGTAGGATTTCGCTTTCGGAGACGTCAAAGGCGTGTTGCAGAGCGAAAATGCAAAAAGATGGCAGGAAAAGTCTTTTAGAGGCATAAAAAGCGAGACTGCAGGGGCTCCGTAAGAGTAGTCCTGCCTCTCCTTGTTGAGAACTTTTTCCTCTCTCCCCACAGCTCGCCTCTACTTTCGCTGCCTAAGATCAGGCGCATTTAGCCTGCCCTGCGTCCGCCACTGACGCAACTGCATTACTTCTGTATAGACACAACAAGCTGCATTCCAGTCTCTCTTTCTACTGCCCTGCTGTGAAAGACAACTTTCACCAAACTTGATGCATTTTAGATGCAGATGCACAGCAGTGTAGGGGCAAGCACAGAATAACACCATCCAACTATGGCCACGTTATTTTACTAACTGGGGTTCAAATAAGGCAATTAGAGTTATTCCTGTGGCTGCGTTAAAGCGTTTAGCCTACTGACAGTGCATTCAGGTACAATCCTTGCGTGCATTTTTATTGGGGGGCTTCTTGTTGATGCTGGTGCCTGATGAACTTATGATGATCGTTACAAAATCAGGATATAGAATTGTTACAATATGTTCATTGTTGCTTTATTATTGCACATATTTTCAGCATCAAAAGGCTCCCAGAAGTCAGCTTTAGTTGATAAAGTGCTTCAAGAGCCCTCTTGTGAAAATAATTTGTATATTAGCTCAGATTACGGAGCCAATGAGAGAACTAATTTATTGATGTCTGTCACTTTTTTCATTGCATTGCAATGGACTCGGTGAACCTGGGTGCAGATGTGATGCATGTAGATACTGTAGGCAAGCAGCCATAAATACAAGTTAGCACTTAAAGATGCACGCGCACGCACACGCGCGCGCGTCCGCATAGACGTCAAACCCGCCAGCGCACATAGACGGACACACATCATCTTATACTTTTTTTATAGCCGCCACAAAGCTGCTTGTGGTTTATGAGATAACTTTCTAGGAAATTTCTAGCAGCATTGACTTTTTTTTCTTTTGCATAATCTTCTGTTAAAGATAACACAAAGATGAGACGCGCTGGATTTGCACAACAGAAATAATATCAACAGAAAGAAAATCACTATATATATATA